ATTTAGTAGCCTGAATTGTAAAATTGATGTGGTATTTTCGGGTATTTCCCCTCCACCGGTTGATCAAAACATACAATTCGATAATTTAACACGTTTCAGCTTGTTTTTATGCACTTGCTCAACTTAAGATTTTATACTTTTTTTAAATAGTTGAATGGCTGTGGTAGGAACCAATAATAATAATTATTATTATTATTAATTAGCCAGACTCTATTTTACCTTTAGACTGATATATTTTTGAATTTTTTGAACATTTTTAACAAAAATCGTTACATATTAGTAAAGGTCCCCTAATTTTGACTAGATTATTTATAAAATTGTGTTTTGGTAAAAAATTACTTGCCTTATTCTGTAATATAAACTTTCAATAACAATTTATATATTAATTTTAAATCACAAAAAGGTTTATTTATATTTGTTTTCTTTTCGCAACTGGTGACAATGAATAAACAATTTCATAATGTTCAGCTGACACTTGTAAAAAAACGTCACTTTTGTGTGTCAAAATGAGAAAAGATTTAAAAATAATAATTTAGTATTTTTTTACATATGCATCATATCTCATATCTGCAGCACCGTGATGAAAATTTAACATATGTGTGGTTACGAGCTAACGGCCAGCCGTCCCTGCATATATTTTATTTGAAATAAGCAATATATTTTTTGATCGTTTTGAAATTTTTTTTCATTAAATTTGGACTATGCATGTATCTTCCTTCTGCACGATTTCATAAGAAACTTGTAATTTCTTTTGAGTCAATTTCACTACATGTAATGTATATTTAAATCGAAGTAGTATTAATATGTTTAATTTTCTTGGACTCAAATGTCTTGCGCTAAAGTGCCCTGTCGCTCAAATGTCCCCGCGCCCAAGTGTCCTAAACCGCAGCGCCCAAATGTCCTAGACTGGGGTAAGCTGAACTTTTTAGATTAAGCACGGAGAAGCACGGTATGAATTAAGCCCGGGGCACATGAACTTATTCAAATTTTCATTGATTTATTTTTACCTTAAGATTTTGGGAATACATTTTTTAATTTCGTAGGATGAATTTCTTTAGATTTGCTTCAAATTTTTGTTTGTGTGAAACAGTACGTTTTAAACAAAAATATCAACAACAAATTGTTTTTTAACACGCGTTATTGCGAAAGATGTTTCACAATTTATAAGAGCAAACCGGACACCCACAAAACTGCGCACATATTTGAACGATTTTTGGTCTATATCGATTCTAAACGATATTAATAAATAAAACAAAGGTTGTGCGACAAGCGGCTTTACAGACATTAGTAAATTTATTGTTTCTAGCAAAAAATACTTAATTTTTCTTTTTTTAACGTTCCTCCTGCTACTTAAGAGGGGGTCTGAACTTAGAAGCAGACTATTAAAAATGTCCATGTTACAATTTTCTCTAGAGAGATTTCGCGTCTTGGCGATATGAGCAGAAATGCTTGTTACGTGCTTGCGCGGCTTTTTCAGACAGCTGTCCAATAGGCAACAATGCAGTTTTTATTATAACTGCGCCATGAATAAGTATTTTGTGCATCGTTGGTGCCAGGGTGCATCTGCAGCATCTAATGCGTAATTGTCATATTTTTCTGGATCAATTATATGTTCGCTCGAAATCGTTTCTAGTATGACCTTTAATTTATAAATTAGGTCATAACTAATGCCCGTTATTTCGGAAGCGACTATCGTGTCTTCAAAAAATCTTCGGCTCGTGTTTCCAAAATTTGCCTTTGGTATATCCACCAACAAACCAGTTTCATTGCGAAATCTTTTCTGGATTTCCAATTTTCTTTCTTTTTCAATATTTTTTCCGTTTCTGTTTTTCTCTCTTTTTTTTTTTTTCACTGGCAATTTAAAAGCCAAGTGGAGAATGCTTTCAAAAAGACGAATCCTTGCATGTAGAACTGAAAGCCCAAACTCTGTAGTTTCCTGATTAATCTGATTTTTAAAATCTAATTGGTTGAAGTCCTTAGAGGTTGGACCTCATATGTAACATCGGCTTGTGGATTTTGTACCAGTGGCAGCATTACAGACCTTTCCGTCTACCATTGTCATAATGAACACATGGTTAACCAAAAATTGTGTTCCATTTAAGTCCACCTCTGTTGAGTTTAGCAGATTTTTTCACAAAAGTTATTTCTTCTTTCGTTATGTCAATAGTCTCTTTAACGAATCGGAATCTTATAGGTCGACAATACCGTGGAGAAGAGGGTGTTGGGTTTGCCCACACAATTTTTTCATCTTTACCACAAATCAATCGTAGAGGAACAAAACAGCTATAAAATATGTTCCGTCTGAGTCTGCATCATTTTCTAATTTTTGTTTGAACTGAGATTGCTGAGATCCATCGCAACCCTATTTACAAATTATCTTCAGGTTATCTCGTTCTTGTTCTTTCAATGATATCAGGACCTCTTCTAGGAATATTGAGAAGCACATAACTGCAAGGTCAACTAAAGGCTGTAAATCGCTCTCCGCACAGGTACTAGTTACTCTGCACGATTCTGCAGGTGGATAGCATTCTTGTTTTACCTTTTGTAAAAAGCTATAACAAGAGAATAATTTTTTATTATTATTTCTAATTATTTCATATTGCCGACGAGTTAAATCAGCTTCTACGAACATTGCTAATGCTTGTAATGGAGTAAGTGAGCAAGTTTCTTCACTTTTTGATTTAGAAAATTCTTTTTATATTTATTTGCACGTGTTGGAGAACTGGTGAGATCTTTAAATACATCGGAAGCATCTCGTTTTCCAACTTTCCGTAATTTTACTTGACTAGCATGTATGATTACTTCTCTATCTGAAGTAGATCGAATCTCCTCAGTTTTCCTCCTTTTAGTTCGATTACGTGACTCTCCAAATGACTACGTGGCCGGCCTGGCCAATTTTGTATAACCACGGGAATCTCAAAAGTTCCGTTTAGCCATGCATCATTGTATTTGTAAAATAGGTACGTCTTCCTTTTTATGTGCTTTCAACCACCTTTCTTTCACTTGAGACTTAAAGGGTACGTAAGTGCGTTTTAAACACTCAATTTGGTCTTCGGTGTATCCTTCGCACGACAAAAGTTGTTCTTTTAAGAAATCTAGTTTTTTCTTCCAAACTAGGCAAATCTAGATTCTGCATGCGACAGAACAAATATTTACGGGTCACAATTCTTACACCCGAGGTACTTTGTGAACCTAAACAAAAATAAATTCTTTAAAAATGTATTCATAATCAATCATAATTTTAAGATTATTATTTGTTTCTTTATTAAAATCCATAATCATAACTAAGAGAAAAACCAAAAACTAACAATAGGGGTCAAAGCAATTAATGGGATTAAATTATTGCGAGTAAGAATGTGTTATCATTATTGGAATTATCTCACATAATACTAAGAACCACTTTAAAGATTTAGTAAAGGTGAATTATTGATTTCAAATAGATCATTATATTCATCTAAATTTTAACAATAATGGTTAAAGTAGTTAAGTGGTTAATGAGTTTAAATTAGTGTAATGTTTTACCATTGATGGGATTATCGCACAGAATACTAAGAATCTGTTAGAAGGATTAGGTAAAGGTGAATTATTGATTTCTAATGGATCATTAGCAGATAATCTAAAATCTATATTAATTTCAAGTGTTTGTGGATAGTGCCTTATTTTCTATATGTAATACTAAAAATTATCACTCAAAGACTGGTTTTCAGTAAAAATATGTTTCGCAAATTTATTAATTTTTATTTTTAATATAACTATTTTATGCAAAACACTTGGGAACCATATAAAAACTAAAGGCAAAATTAATTGTATAACAAATTTTGGTGGTTGTCAAAATATGTATATTGGTCAAACGGGCAGTATTTTCAAAAAGCGTCATCCGAGGCGCCATCTGAACATCATAATAGATATAATTTACATTTGCCAATACTATTTTGTAAATAGTAAATAAGGGCACTAGTAAAAACTTCAAATAAATAATTTAAAAAAATTCAGATTATTTGCTAAATAACAGTCAATTAAAAATCCATAATTCACCTTCTTTTTGTAAAAAGATACCATATTTTGATTTTTCTCCTAGTAATAAGTAATAGATGTTTTCGACAAAAAAAAAGCGAAGTGCTGAAAAAGTACTTATCCGCGGTTTTTCGCGTCTAATTTTTTGATTACTTACTACTCAAAGCTCTAACGTTTCGTATATAACAGGATATACCTTTATCGTATAACTAATTCTTTATTGAACTCAAATCATCGGTCAAAAATATGCTATATTACTTGTAATTTTCAATTCACTAAGACAACCTTAAAAATGATAAAAATTATAAGAAAAATACTACAGATAGTGTGTGTCATTACCTGCTATATTTAGAAAAAAAACGCAAAATAAATATATACACTGTTTAAATTAAGGTTTTCACTTTCACATATACCAACTAAAACAGTCAAATTAAAACTGCCAGTGAAGAAGCGGGGTGCACTGAAGGAAAACGGAAGGGGATGGATAATGTGCTCCAACTAGTCCCCTAACCCAGGTAGTCGTTTTTATTTAAAAATTTTGCATTTTGTAAAATGGACTTTTGGCCGCGTAGATAATTCAAATACCCCTGTGCTGCGGTTACTTCTACAGCCTTTATTTTTTATTCGATTTTTATGAAAATTAAAGTACTATTTCAGAAGTAATAATTTTTTTTGTAAACCTTTCAAAATTTATTTTATGTAACCGAATTTTGGAAAAAAAAAAAGTTCACCAAACTGTTTTAAAACATACAAAATTTTGTCGATTTTTTATTAATAACAAATTTATATAAGAATAAGGTTTCCTACCTTCTTTGTAAGGTCCTCTTAATTGAAAGTAAGGCAGGTAGAGCTGAAATGTGTTTATCGTGGAAGGTCCGGTTTGCTCTAGACACAAAAAAACATTAATCCACGCTCCACGCTATAATATCACCGTTTTTCGGTTATTTTCCGATTGTGAATTATTATATAATTTAAAAAAAAGTTACCTAATACTTTGACAATCCTAACTAACTGATCGTAATTATCCAATCCATGAAAAAACGGCTCCTTTCGAAACAGCATGGAGGCGAACATACATCCGAGAGACCACATATCTAAGGAATAATCGTAATAGCCGTAATCGACCAACAATTCCGGTCCTTTGAAGTACCTAGAAGCCACTCGGACATTATATTCTTGTCCAGGATGATAAAATTCGGCCAATCCCCAATCTATCAATCTAATTTTACAGCTATTTTGATCTATTACGATATTATGAGGCTTCACGTCTCTGTGCATAATGCCGCGGCTGTGGCAGTAATCCAAAGCCTTCAAAACTTCATACAAATAATATCTGGTATCGCCCTCGCTTAATTTTAAATAAATATTTTTAAAATCCTCATTATGAACCAACTGTTCGAAAACCAACGCAGTGTTAGGCATGTTCACAACAGACAAGAGTTTCACAATATTCGTGCCGCCTTTGAGGCAATCCAGAATTTTTATTTCTCGTTTAATTTTTCTTTTCCTTACTGGTTTCAGCATTTTTATCACGACTCTTTCGTTCTTGGCTTCATTCAAACCCTCGAAAACAATACTGTACTTTCCGTGGCCTAATTTTTGAATTAGACTATAATTATCTACTGCTTCGTATTGCGGGTTGTAATTGTCATATTCATAATATGAACTCGGTTTGTTTGCTAGGACATCCGAATAAACTTTTGATATTGTTTTCACTTGATTCGTTTTGGAATCCCTGTAATGTAAATACAACAGTCATCAACAATACAAGGACCTAAAATGGACCATTTCCCCTTTTAAAAAGTTACCTGAAAATGTTTAAATGCGTTGTAGGAAGCTTTAAACAGGACAAAAACATTCGTGCTTAATTTATAAATATTAAAAAAAAAATGAAAGGTATTAGATCTTATTAAATACTATTATCTACTCTTTTGATAAGATCAAACAAGTTAAATAAATACACTAGATAAGTAAAATTGACACAGTTAAAACATAAGATTAAGATTAGTAGAGTATAATACTCACGACAAATCCCCATAATTCTCCATTTGATAATTTATTAATAATGTATTTAACAGTATTTTGACAAATTCATGTGATTAAAATTTGGAACAACTATCAAATTTCAACGAAACAGTGATTTTTAATTCATTTATCAAAAAATTAGTTAGATACCAACATTTTCTCATCAAGATTGAGCGAGTTTCTTGAACAAATCAATATACCATTTTTTTTCTTTTTATGTCTTTCTTAAGACTATTGTATTTTGCAACCACTGCTCTTGAGTAAAACGAAAAAAAAAAAATTCGATTAAACTAATTGTGTAAGCTAAATTTAATATTGGCACTACAGTTTAAATTGGAAAACGAAAATCAAACTTTTGACTTTTAATTTAATTTGACTAGAACACGGATTGAAAGAACGATAAAAAATTCGTTATTCTGTGCTTGTAGCGACATCATCGGGAAAAGATGGTACAGAAGTAGTATGAAGACTAGAGAGAGATAGTAGCACATACTTTGATTTGTGGTTATTCTGTGGTAGTAAGTGTAATGATTATCGTGGGGAGAGGAGAGGTACAACAAACAGTGCGGTACTGTATGGCAGGGGTAATATATTGTTAATTATATGTATAATTAATAGATGAAAGCGGATGGATGGCATGAAAGTCTTTTATGCTGTATATTTTTAATTTTCAATAATATTTTAATGTTATACTGCATGTCATGCTTGTCCTGTAGATTTCTTTTATTTACTCAATTTTAGATAATTATTTTTAATTTGTATACATTTTAAGTAAATATACCTGATAATAGGGGGAAAGTAAATAAAACTAAATATTGTCACGAACACGTTTTCTACGTGAAGAAAGAGGAATAATTTATATTTCGGACTACCTGCTTTTTTATGAAATAAAAACCAATTAAAATAATAGAACAAGTTTATTTATCAACGACAAATATTTATGTAGAAATACGAAGATTAATAAACTTTATCATTTACAAAGTACCTACTGTAGCAAAATTTTTCGTTCAGATGTAAGAAGGGACCGAAGAAATAATTTTTTCCTACGACCACTTAGGAAAGTGACACATATCACACTATAAAATCCTATGGAAAGTGCCCTATATCACACGCGTATGAATAAGAATTTACTTTCCACCCGAGTGAGAATATGTTACTTTCCGCAGTAGTTGTTACAAAATGTCAAACACCTAATTTCTATTTTGATCTATGTAATGTCCATATTAATACTAAAATCCATATGATTGTTAAAATATTTAAATTGTTGTAAATTAGATCCTAGATATTTATCTTTAACAATTATTATTAAAATAATTTTAAAATAACTAAAATGTTTGCTTTTTATTCTGGTTAAACATATAACCGATTAGATCACTTAATTGACGAAAGGCCTGTTAGCTCAGTTGGTTAGAGCATCAATCTATCAAAATTGCCGTTTGAGAGACCTGGCGAACGACCGCGTTCGAATCCTGGCGGGGCCAGAACTTTTTTGTTTTTTTTTTATTTTTTTTTGTTTTTTAATTTTTTTTTTTTGTTTAAAAAATATGAAAATTGAATAAATACGATTGTTGTTGATTATTTTTTTAAATACATTTTAATTATTATAATAACCTGGTTTTACATTTTTTTATGAAAATATTTTGTGGTCGTAGGAAAAATATTGTACATCACTTGTGTGAAAAGTGATTTTCCACACTCGTGTGATAGTCGCACTCGGCTTGTGCCTCGTGCGACACTATTTCCCACTCGTGTGAAAAATGTCACTTTCCACACTCGTAATGTAATATACTATATTAGGTATAGATATATTATTCTTTAGTTAGGGTTTGAGTAGGCTGTGTTAAAATACTTCAAATCGAAGACAAATAAATATTTTATTTTCCTAAAAAAAAAAAAAAAATGAAATCCATAGAGAAACATATAAACTTTATTACCTTACCATCCATATGTTCTAATATGTTAAATAATTAAATTGCTTTCATTTTCAAAATTATGCTTCAATAATTTCAATTGACCGCTGTGTTATTCTTATGGACATTAATGACATTTGACGTTCTGGATCTCGTGTTGGCATCCAGTGTTATGACCTTCCTCAACCTGTGACGTTTTCCCTAAACACGCGTATTCTCTGACAATGCATAAAACTCGTGTAAAAGTGGTGTGGTCATAGGATAGGGTGTGGTATCGAAATAAAATGGGTAACGTCTTAGAGCATATAAGAGTAATCATTCAATGTATTTTGTTATGTATAAGCGGGGTCATCACAATTTTGTCGTGAGGGGAGAGGGATGTATTCCATTCTCAATGGCGTACGGTTTGAAAGGGTTCGTATTTATGTTTACGCATTGTAATTTCATAATAACTAAAAATTTATATAATTGATTCCCATAATTAAGAGAAATTAATTTATTTACCAATATCTAGTATTCTTTTTTTTTATGTTAAGCTTTCATTATATACACTGTATATTATATACACGTTTTACTGGAAATGACTTACGATTAGAATTGAAAACTTTTTTTTATTGCAGATATAGGTTTTGAAACTAGGCTTTCAAATGGATTATTGGCCATACATTATTTTCGTTTAGTTCAAGTAGATCCTTTAGGAACTAAATCTTTTTTATAATAATAAATGTACATGTTTTATAATAAAATTATTAATCAATGTAATCAAACCATAGTTATTGGTTGTACTTAGATGTAATATATGTGTGTAGAAGTAAGCTACTTATAAAACAAAACAACAAATAGAATTAAACACTAATGCTGCCAAATTCCCATCAAATTTATTTATTTAATATACCACTCAACACTTAAAAACCAATTACCTAGGTATAGAGTGGGATGAATATATAAAAAATACATTTTATTCGTGCGAGATACATCATACACTGTCTATATCAGAGCATACATTTTGAAATTATCATACAAAAACTTACATACCACTAATATACGGAGTGGCCCAAAAGTCTGGAAACGGCCAATTATCTCGTAAATTGCTAATCCTAATTGTACCTATTTTGGCATACGGAGATTCCAGATTTGATATTTGCAATATTGCCAGATTTGTCGTTTCTCTTATATTATTAGTCACTTTGGTTTTTCAAATTCATCACCCTGTATATTCAGTCATTATTGGAATCTCCTATTCATTACGAGTTCAACCATATGTAACACTTATGATTTTATGTAGTCTGGAAGGTCTTAAATAAAACAATCATAGAGAAATGTAGTATTGGTACGCATTCTACTATCGATTAGGGTACTGTCAACTCACACATGGAGCACATTTTGAACACTTGATAAAGTAAACATTATGTTAAAAAATTTATAATCTTTCAATTGTTACATTTTAATGTAGTTGAAAATAGTTTGTAGTGAAAAATTTATTGAGACAATTAGGCGTTGCCAGACTTATTTTATTTATTTAAGACCTTCCAGACTACATAAAATCGTAAGTGTTACATATGGTTGAACTCGTATTGAATAGGAGATTCCAATAATGACTGAATATACAGGGTGATGAATTTGAAAAACCAAAGTGACTAATAATTTAAGAGAAACGGCAAATCTGGCAACACTGCAAATATCAAATCTAGAATCACCGTATCCCAAAATAGGTTTACCCTAAATTTTGTACAATTAAGACTAGCAATTTACGAGATAATTTGCCGTTTCCAGACTTTTGGGTCACTCTGTATAAACAATATAGATACTATAAACATACACTGTGTCCCAGATTGGTGCTACATGTAGTGCTATCTCGGTATCTCGGTTATTATAAGATCTACAAAATCGGTCAAATGGACAATGTTTCTCAGGTTTCTATTACCATTTGAGAACTGCTATTACATTTTGTCAGTTATTTTTGGTTTTTGAATAAATCGCGATAAACCAAAATGGTGGCTCGCCTACTAGACTAAATTGAGCAGAGCAGCAAAATTAATTAGGAAATTTTTAGATTTGTTTATTTCAGCATTCATTTGAAAGAAAGCACCATGTTGTGATACATTTTGAAAAGGGAATTAACAATTCTATTTAATGCAATAAAAATCCAATATGGCGTCCATAAGAAAAACCTCTTTTATCTAAGGAAAAACAAAGTTATAGTCAATATCTCGAAAACGGAAGGAGATAATGTCTAGACCAAAATACTGTATGTTCACAAATAATCGAGATACGGAGGACTGTCAAAAACCCACCATTTTGGTTTTTCGTGATTTATTCAAAAACCAAAAATAATTGACAAAATGTAATAGCAGTTCTGAAATAGTAGGTAATAGAATCCTGAGAAAAATTGCCCATTTATCCGATTTTGTAGCTCTTATAATAACCGAGACAGCAATACATGCATCATCAATTTGGGACATAATGTATACAATAGATACTATAAACATATACAATCGATACTATCATACAAGAGATTATAAAATACAGTAGGTACCTAACTATTCGTATTATCTTGTTTTTTAAAACCAAAAATATGCAGACTGTCTCGAAGGCCATCATAAATACTAATCAATTGAAAAAATTGGAGCACTGTTCAAAATGTTTGTATAAGCATCTGGAAAATAGAAGCTTAAGGCCAGGGCGGGGTACTTTTCTGCTAATGTAATCATGAAGCACAATGAAATCTAGCCGTTCATGTAAAATATCCCATAAGAATGAAACTTGTTGCATTTCACGGTGTATGTGAAGCGCTAATAAACCAAAGCTTCATACATTTTGACTATAGATGTAATTTAATGAAATCAATACAAATGACGTATACTCTAGTTATGAAGACTAGTGAGACGGAGGCGAATCGGCAATGGTCAAATTTCAAATTTACATGCTTCTTTTTATAAAGTTCGCGAAATTGACTGTAGTTGGCATGTCGAATAACAGCTGTGTCAATTTTCTATGTAAGTCAATATAAAATGAAGTGATTTTTTTTTTAAAAATTGGTGAAAAGAATCAAAATAATGTGAAAAAAAGTACCCGAGTACAAGTAACATGAATGACAAAAAACATCAAAGCAAGCAGATATATAGTGATAGAAATACCCCAAGTTCTCTAACAAAAGAGTATCGCATTTTTAGTTACAGTTTGCATGTGTCTTCTTATTTCAGTTGTGCTTTGTTGTTGCTAGGCAGCTTAAACGTTATTAAGGTGCGTTTACACGGATACAAGAAGTCACTTTGAAAAAATTAAGATCACGTTTTACATTTTGTCTACAAATACTAGAACAATTTACTTTCGTACTTTATAAATAAATTTCCCAGGTTCCATTTTACATTTAAACAATAGAGAAAGTGAATGGGGGTATTTCCGAGACTATGAAGTTGTTGTAAATTGTCTAGAAACCTAAACAAAATAATATGATCATAATATAAAATTTCTTCAAATAAAGGAACCAATTTTTACTATATTAAATAATTTATTGATTTTTAAATAAAATAGTTTTTTTTAACACACTTATTCTTACTCGATTTTCTAAGGAGCCTTTCAATAAAAATGTTTCATGGTGAATTCTTATTCCTAAATAATTTTTTAAAATTAATTTAATTAACTGTAATGAATGTTCATTTAATGGATCGTTTTCACAGCTAGTATTGTAATAATTAAATCCATTATTGAAAATACTTCTTATTGTGCCACAAATTAAAATATTTAGAATATTTTTTACAAATAGATTTTTGTGTTATTTAAAATATCTCATTTTCTTTTTTGGATATGTGAGGATGTTTCTTTTGATTCAAGCAATTGCATACAATTATTGCAAACAATACACTTTTTAATGCATTTTACAACAAAACCCAATACATAGGAAATTATATCTTCCAAATATAAAGTTAAATGCCATGAAGGCGCACTGGCATAATCATGATCTTTGCATAAATTGAACATTTCAATAAAGTCGTTTTCATTTTCTAGATCTTCTCCCAGTTTATTTTTTGTCAACGAATTAACACTTAAAATGGTAATACAGTTCATAGCAACAGTATTTCCCATGTCATTCCCCTTAATTTCGGCATGAATGAATAATTTTTTATAAATAGATTCGAATTGGCGGCATGTAGGATTGTCATTAAAACCACCTTTCCTACATACTGCACTAAAAAATACTTCCAGATGGTCCTGAGATAATTTATAATATGTAATTAAGCAGTGGTGTTTTTAAGCTATTGCATAGCTTTTATCGCGGCGACCGAATCAAGAAATTCCGTAACGAAAATAAACCTAACACCCCCCCTACTCCGACCGGCACAGCGGTGCGGCGTTGAAAGCCGTGGAAGGTTTTATCCGACCCTATTCGTATTACTATGAAGCGGAGTTAAATATACGTCTGCGGACTAGAACGTTTATGTAATACAAGAACTAGAAGAGCTTTCTCTGGCTTCTAATAAATTGGTATCACAAATGTTCCCGGCTGGCGGTAATATTAGATATTAATTTTTTTTGCAAGATTTATAAAATATTAATTTTTATTTTATCAGTGTTAACTATTTCATTATTAAGCTATTGCATAGATTTTATCGCGGGCTTTGAGCGCGGCGACCGAATCAAGAAATTCCGTAACGAAAATAAACCTAACACCCTCGAAAAACCGAAATATCGAAAAAGAAATTCCGTAACGAAAATAAACCTAACACCCCCACTCCGACCTGCACAGCGGTGCGGCGTTGAAAGGCGTACATCGTCTAACGTCGTTTCAGTTCGGCAGACTTCGGCACGGTGTTTGTGTGCCTGCGACTAGACCTATGTGTGTAGACTAGCTGATAACTGCTCATAACTGATTCTATCTCTTTTAGACACAATTTCGGAAAAATTGAATTTGAAAATGAATAAATGATCCACAAGAATCCACAACAAAATATGGGACCACCATTGACGCGGTATTTTCCAGATATTTAGAGGATATCAAGTCTCAAACTTATGTTTCTTATTTCAGTTACCATAAACCTATAGTTTTAATGATAAAAATTCCTGAATAACCTACATGTATTGTATTTTAAACAATATTAACTTCTCATTTATTCAATAAAAGAAAAAAAATTGTTTTCTTATCGGTCACCACGCTCAAGAAGTGTAACTTGAATTAATATCAAAGAAAAAAAATACTGCATAAATAAAATAAATAATTATAATTGCATAAGTTGATAAAAAATGCTATGCAATAGCTTTACCGCGGCAGTCCCCGAGTGCCACGCGTATTTTTTTATATAAGTTTCATACATTAATGTTTTATAATTGCATAAGTTGATAAAAAATGCTATGCAATAGCTTTACCGCGGCAGTCCCCGAGTGCCACGCGTATTTTTTTATATAAGTTTCATACATTAATGTTAAACTTTCAATATTAACTAAATACCCTAAAAACCCAGTTTTTTGCCTAGTGATTAATATGGAATCGCCATTACATTTTAAAGACAATATATATGCATAGTGCAAAAGTTCTTAATTCAGGGGAGTATTTTGTTCTAGAAGGACCTTTAATTGCTCACTTGACATATTCCTTATATCCACTTTTAAGAGTAGCCTAAAAAATAAACTAATTTGAACTAAAATAAATAATAATAATATATAAATAAAATATTTCCTCATCATTAAAAAAAATTACTGGTATTAATTCTTACATCCACAAGTGTATCTGTACTTTTGTAAAAAATATTCATTTTTTTTTCATAAATCCAATCATACTATTTAATGATTCCAATCTATTTTGTAAAATATATTTCTCCCTCCTAAGTTTTTTAATTATATTTTTTTGGCAAAGAATCTTTTTCTGGGCAAGAGCTAATTTTCTATCAAAACATAACTTTGGTTGATTTTTTTTCTTGGTCATTGCTTTCCTGAAATCATAATAATGCTTGAGTATATGAGAAAATATTTTATTTGACTTTAACAAACCTTCTTTTTCCTTTTTTAAGTTCTCTTTTCCCTTTAGAAGCAGTTAGTGTGGATGAATGGGAGCTTACAGACATTGTGTTTTCAGGTGATGTGTTTATTAAATTGTGAACAATTTTTTGTCTTTTAAAGGGAGTTAAAGATTGAAGTTCCCTGTCTTGCATATTTTCATCCCTACAAATGAAATGTTCATAAAATTTATTCCGCCGATTATAGATTCACATTATTTATAGTTTGTATGGAAAAAACTTACTCATTTTTAAAGCAGGGTACTGGTACAGCTTTCGGTATAGCTCCTGTTACTAATCTATTGCTACCTTCATAATATTGATCCATTGAAAAATGGTCTGAACATAAACATGCGTTGTTACAAATGCTATTAATGCTCAATCTGAGCACTTTGCACCAAGCCTGTTTGTTTGTGAGATCAGTAGGAAATCTGAAATAAGGAAAAAAAGATTTTAAAAATTAATGGCAAATAAAAATGAAGAACATTCTACCTGTTTTTTTATTTGTTTGCCCATTTCCCATTTTAAGTTACGTTTATGGAATATGGAATACTTACTTGTGAAACGTCAACCGGGATCCTTTTAAGAATTTATTATTGCAAACTATACAAGCTTTCGGCATGATTAGCACTTATTTTATAATAAAAATACACTTAAAAGGTTTATCAAAGAGACACCTCGTCCAAATTGTCTTTGGAAGCCACAAAAAATTAACTTTTTAAAAACGAAAACAAGACGTCAAATGAAATGTCATTTGTCATAAATACGCGCGTTATTTAAATTCGCCAATCATAAATCGTCTTGTTCCTAACTCACCAATCATAATGCGTCGTGTACCTAACACCCAGGGTTGCCAATCGTACGGTAATTACCGTTACCGTACTTGTACGGTAATGTTCGATTTCGATTATTGGCCAGGGTTGCCAATCGTACGGTAATTACTGTACTTGTACGGTAATTTCGATTAATGTACGGTATACGGTCCAAAGTCCATACATAAAAGTACGGTATTTACATAAAAAGTACGGTAAACGTACGGTATTTTAAACAGAATTAGCAAAGACTTGATTCCACTGTTGTGTTAAACGAAGTTTAAATTACTGGGTCGATTCCACCGTTGTGTTATCCAAAGATTAAATTACTAAACGAAGATAAAAATTATATTGTTAATGTAAAAATGTCATTTTAATCTTCGTTGGGACCGATTCCACCGTTGTGTTAAACGAAGTTTAAAATGACATTTTTACATTAACGTCATTTTAATCTCCGTTTAACACGACGGTGGAATCGGTCTTTAGTAATTTAAACTTAGTTTAACACAACGGTGGAATCGACCCTAAATGAAGATTAAAATACATTGCCTAATGTAAAAAATATAATTTTAATCTTTTTACAGCACATGTTATTTAAAAGGACCATGGGTTTTTTTACAAAAATATAAGATGAGGCTTTTTTTAGAAACTAGGTGGACCAGAGGTTGATTAAAATATGATGGGGACCTTTTTTTAGAAGCTCGATCAAAATGATATTTAGTTTTTCTACAAAATAAAAGTGTACGGTATTGGGAAGCCATGTACGGTAATTTGAATTGCGCGGTACGGTAAATGGAATTTGAAAAGTTGGCAACCCTGTTATTGGCAAACACGCAAAGTTTGACATTTGACTTTTGTCGGTGTGTCGATTTTCATTGATGTGTTATCGTTAATTTTTCATTTATTGGAGAAAAATTAAAGGAAACATTTTAATTACATATATTTAAATATTAATTACGATATTGGAACTGTTTTGACCTCATTTATTTTATTAGTTGTAAGTATCCATTAATATTAAACAGTAAACGTGGTAAACAACTGCGCTTGAGGCTATTAGACGCCCTACCTTTTTAAACTTTTATTTGGCTCTAGAATTAGACGAGCGATTAAAAGAAATAAAGTTATTCATCTGTATGTTTTATTTTTCATTCATTGTACTTTATTTTCGGCAGCTTGCATACTTATATTGTTTCTAAAAAGTTTAACCTCATTTTATAATCGTTTTCACAGATAGGTAAATGTTATTAACAGTTCATATTTGTTAAGTATTGATCACAAAATAGCTCAATAGTATAACTAGAACGTTATTTAGGTAGAGGATTGAAATGGCAGACAGTGATGATGAATATGATAGAAAGCGAAGGGATAAATTTCGAGGAGAAAGGGCAGAGGCCAGCTATAGAGGAAATGATCGTGTAGCTAGGCCTAGAGATGATTGGGCGGAAAGGTGAGTTTTTTGATATTATATTTTTTTTTATAAACAATTATATAGGATTCATGAATTAATATTGAACAAATTTAAAGGGATTCATGGTCTCGTCCTAGACCAAGGGAATACAGAAGTGGTGTTAGAGATAGAGGCTATTCACCTAGTTTAGAACCAACCCCAAAAAGAGTCCGTCATGATTATTATGGAGGAGGAGATAACTATTATAATCATTATGGAGGTGGAAATTTCCATCAGCAAATTCACAGGTTTGTATTTCATATATCTACATCCCCAATTGAAATTATATTTTTCCATTTTTTGGACAGTATTTTTTGCATTAAATTATAAAACAATTTTTTATTAGAGAACCAATGGTTTCTCATGTGGAAGGTCAACAACCACCAATGATGTCTTTTAAAGCCTTTTTGGCCACCCAAGATGATAATATTTCTGATAGTGAAGCTATTGAGAAATACAATGATTATAAATTGGAATTCCAAAGGCAACAACTTAATGAATTTTTCGTGGCCCACAAGGATGACGAATGGTAGGTGCTTTTACTTTTACAAACTATAAAATCTTTGGTTTTTTACAAAATAATATTTATTTCAGATGTATGATAATCTTTGTGGCATAACTAGTTTTGTAAGCATTATTGATGAATATCACAAAGATTATAGATAGTACAGTAATTAAATTTTGATTATTGAACTTGTATTTACTTAGGAAGTGGTCTGAAAATAGTTAATTTGTTAAAAAGGTGATTTAAGTCCATTGTTTTGATTATGAAATTTTTACTTAATTATTTCAATTCTATTTATATAAATAGAAAAAATATAGGGTTCAAACAAGTTACCTAGATTCAAAAACTTAATAATTAATATGAACTAAAAAGAGTTTAATATGTGGTTACCATTTTTGTTATTAAAAAGAATGTTTAAACTTTGAGTGAGTCATAAACTTTGATATTTCCAAAAAAAATTGGCATTTGGGTGTTTAACTACTTAAATTATCAGATAGTTATACCATTTTTGAGATATTAATAGCTGGAGAGACTAGCTGCGTGATTAGTGCACATCCACATTCTCATAACAGTTGAGCTGAAATATTCAGTCACATCGTGGAGGGTGACTGTTGGGACGTTCCACTTTGGGAATAAATGACGGTTAACGAGGGAAAGAATTGGTGAATGGGAAAGTTGTAGGAACTTTAAATGGTGGTACAATAAGCCTTAGACTGCAGTGCCTCCAGGCTACAGACAGATTAAGGTGATAGCATGGTGGGTCTGAAGTGTGTGAAACTAAAAAAAAAAGATAATCAATTTAATTGTATGTTACAAAAAATGTATTTTGATTTGCATTGTAGACATTTCCTGATTTAAATATATACAACAATCTTTTATTTTCAAAATGCTATTTTTTACATTCTAGCATTGAACCTTTAAAACATTGAAGAAGAATATGTTTCTCCTATATTTTTTCTGTAATTCATTTTTCAAATTGATACCTTCTGGCCTAAGAATATTTTTTAAAGGACTGCATAACAAATAGTTCCATGGGTACTCTATTAGGCGACCTTGCCAGATATTCAATTTCATTCCAAAAGTATGTCCAAATCAATTTTATTATTTCCTAGTATTGAATTTGGATCTAGGTGACTTAAATAATATAAATTAAATCTTGCACAACCACATAAGAGAAAACATTTTTCCTTTTTAACCTATTTATAGTATCAAAAAAAATTTGTGTACTATTTTCAGTCTATGATAATATGATCTAAAATTATTTCTTTATAGGCAACTGTTTAGTCTCATTGTTGTTTGAGGTTAGATTCCTCTGAAAAATCCATAGAAAATAAAAACTTATGCTACCACCATCATCATACAATTACTACGTCAAACATATCAATTTGTTAATCATTCAAAAAATTTAAACCAAAAAATTCAAAATTATTCTTTTGATAGGAATTCTCTCTGGGGTTCCTTGGGAAACTTCTTAAATGAAAGCTTATATCGATTTTAAAAGTTCGAAAGTATTTTTAAAATTATTTGGTTGTATGTTAAATACTCACTCTTTTACATGTCCCTACAAAAAGAAACCAATGGGAGTAAGGTCAGAAGGATGTGCAGATTTACAATACTGTAATACAAGGCCTTTGTTAGAGATAGTTTTACTTACCCCTGTATTTGATAACATACAGTATTTTGGTTTAGACATTCTATGTCCATTTTTTTAAGGTCTTTATAATGAAAAATATCTCTTACTGTTTACGAGATAATGAATATAACTTTGTTTTTCTTAAGGACGCCATATTAGATTTTTATTCCATTAAATAGCATAAACAAATTTTGCTGCTGTCCTTGATACAAATTTAGGTCATAGTTTTAGTTTCAAATTGACATATAAAAAGTCTCCAAAAATTGGTTTATTAGAAACATAATGATGTTCCAAATCTTTTACGTACAATAAACACTCATTTCCACATTATTTCAATAAATTATAGGTTTTTGTGGCAGATATTTTGAGTCTCACAAGAAATTTTACATTGACAATTGCTATCCTTAAACACATGAACATTTTCGGCGTAGCACAGATGCAAAGACCATGACAGCAATTTCTTTCAGAATGATCACATTTTAAATTTTAATAATTATTATTTCTCCTGTCTCCTGTTACATCTGAATAGCAAAATTTTGTTAAAGTACTTTGTAAATGATAAATGATAACTTGATATAGGTTTTCATTTAAGTTTTTAAAGAATTTGAATGCTTGGACTATATTAATTATTCAGTATCATACAACTAGAACTATACTTTGATATGGGTGTCGTTATGATGGAGGTTTGCAAAAGTAACAATATAATTATTTTCATCAAAAGGTGTAGAATGTAATACATACAGTAAAAGTTGTTTTCGTTGATCCATCTCTATGACCATGTCTAATTTCATTGATATAAAATACTATAAAAGTTTTTTCTCTACAGCGAGGAATCGAGACAAGTCGGTGAACTCCTCATAAAAAATAATATACTCGATATGAGAACACCATTGAGAAATACAACAAGGATCTTTCGCGTTTTTTAAATCGTTAAAAGTTATACAACATGAAATGGTGCAAAACTTGTTTTAAATTCCGTTAATTGAGCTGTGCGCGCAATGCACAAGCTTTCGCGTTACTTTGTTTAGGGTATTTTATATATGACAGGTGAGATTCACGTTCAAGAAGAAGCTTCTTATTTTTGGTCCAATTTGGGATGAGAGTTGAGAATATGTGATTTTTTTTTACTTAAACTTCCTCAAACATTTTTCTGTTAAATAAATTATAAATATTAATTCATAGAAAAGTTATCTACTATAATTTTCTATAATATATATTATTATAGCTATATAGATATAAAAAATTACAAATATTTAATATTTTAGTAAGAGATCTAAGAGCGGAAATGAGAAGGAATAAAATAACAGGTCAACTGGTATCACAATAACATAATGGGTCACACCAGAGTGAGCACTTGATCGACTCTCCTCAATAGTTTTCTTTTTACTGTAGGAAATTTCCCTCAATTTTTTGTTTGTTTGTTTCAGAAATTGATATTTACTTTTAAATATAGGTTTTATTCAAATTACTTTTATGTCTGTATACAAAAGGAAAGTATAGGAATTATGATTTTTTTCGACGATTTTTTACGTTTTGGGGTTCCCTGAATTCGTTTTGACTATTTTCGCGATGATATGGGTGTCTGTATCCACGATAACCAAACGGATAAAGAAAAAACACTAAATTTTAAACATCTGTGGGGGTCTTTATAGGGGGTCATTTTTTTACTTTAAGGAATACATCTATTACACTGCACAACAGCATTTCTGATGATTGAGTTATATTACATGACACTAGCTTAATTTTTAATGAAGACTTCAAATCTGTAATCTAAATTTCTGTATTAGCTCTAGTTTAGAAAATATGACACATGGCCGTTTCATAGTAAAACACACTTAGTTCTTAAGGCGAAAAAAACTTTCTTTTATAAGACTTCCTTGCAGAGGTTGAACCCATAGAACTGTTCTGAATGCTCCAACAATAGTCAGCCATCATGTGTGTATTCCAGTAGCCTTGATACCGTCCCTCCATCCTACGAAGGTCCTGGTGAAATCGCTCGCCCTGTTCTTCACTTAGATCCCCAAGATTAGCGGGAAAATAATCTAGGTGGTTGTGAAGAAAGTGCAACTTGATGCTTTTGCTACATCCAAGGGTTTGAAAGTGACTCATTAGTTGTTCAACGTGTTGAGAATAGTTATAACTTTTCTTACGTCCCCAGAAATTTTAAACAAACTCATTCCATGCGTTTTTCTCAATTTCTGTCATAGTGTCCGTAAATTTTGTGTCTTTTATTAATGATCTTATCTGTGGCCCGTCGAAAATGCCCGCTTTTATCTTTTCTACACTCAGTTTTTGGAATTTTTTTGATAGAAATAGAAAACAATTTCCAGTTTTGTTAAGACCTTTGACAAACTATTTTATAAGCACTAATTTTATATCCAACGGAGGCAAAATTATACTATCTCTTGACACTAAAGGTGGGTTTATTACGTTTTGTTGTCCTGGAACTAGATCTTTCCGAGTAGGCCAATCCTTTTTAACCCAATGTTGATTTTTAGCTTTACTATCTTACAAGCAAAGAAAACAAGGATACTTTGTGTAACCACCTTGCTGGCCTAATAGAAAGTTGACCACTTTTAAATTAACACATATGATCCAGTTATGTTCCACATATTTAATTTTGTCCAAATCCAGAGCAATAGTTGTATATTCTTATTTTACTTTTGTAGAATGTGCAATAGGCAACGACCCTAATGTATTCCCCATTGTGTAAGAGAACACATTTTAGACTCCATTTTTACGAGTCTATGAATAAACGCCACTCACTAGAAACATAATTTTGTAATCCCATTGCAGCCATCAATCCAGGTACATCTTTACAAAATACGAAATTGTCTTCTTCAGCAAAATATTTGAGAAAATTCTGTTCTCTTGTGCAGTAATAAGAAATTTTAGTTTCTTTTGTTACCAATTTTCTTTCTTTTAGCCTTGAAGCCAACATTTCTGAAGTTGACTTTGACAGTCCCATATCTCTAATTAAGTCGTTTAAATCATCTTGATTGAATGGTTTTGGCGTTCCCAGGTCGCATTCAAAGTCACTATCGCTACTGTCGTTTCTCGTCTCAAATCTTCTGGCTCTTCCTGTATAGTACTAGATCAAGGTTCAGGTATAGACTTAGGGCGCAGGACACGTCTATGTACCGATTGTATGGAAGGATATTCCCATTTGGCTCGATTTTTACGGTTAATACCAGTTATGTTCACTAAACAAAAATAACAATCATCATGGTGGTTCATGGGTTCATTCCAAATCATAGCGGTTTTGTATCTGAAGCTATTTATTTTCTTATTTGTCCATAAACGTAGGAACTCAACGCATGTTTTGAATACCTTTTGCGGAATCCAAGACTTATTTTTCATTTCCAGCGGGTGCCCAAAGTAATTTTTGTAAGCCTCATTTATGAACGTTGTCACATTTAAACTGTATTCTTTAATACATACTCTCGCAAATTAAACAAAAATTGTTTGAATCATTCACACATACTCTTCTTGACGATGCCATATCAAATTACAAAATAAAACAATAATTCAAACAAGAAATATTGTCTTACTAAACCTTCCCCTAAAATAACAAAAGATCATTTCTTAAGAATTCTGAAATTGGGTTTTACCTATCATTAAAGAGAGGTACTTTTACATTTATAAGTATGTTCTAAGAAACTACAGGGGGTGTCCGCGGTCGTGGTTATGCCAAATAAAATTAAATATGTATAATAATTCAATAATTATTATTAAATAAACTGCAAATGAACACTATAATACAGCGAATTTTTAGTGAAAGCTATAACTCGTAAACAAAAGCGGTCAGAAAAAAAGTGGGGATATATTTAGAATCGGCGACTTAAAATTAGAAAATATCATGTGACATAAGTCATTCATCAGTCAAAAAGTGTAATTTTGTTGGCCAGTGTTATTTATGCTTGGAGAAGAAAATTCATCTAATAAAAATTGCTAGTGATGTCATTATCTATAATTTTTGTCGCATACATGATATCCCTAGTGCACAATTCGAATTTTTATGAACATTTTTCAAATAAAAGTGCGATATCGTTCTCTATAATTTTTCTTCTATTCCTGATTTCTAAGATGTATGTGGAAAATGTATTTAGTTCATCCTCTAAACATTTACAGGGGTGATGCAATAGGTTGAACAGTATAATCGGAAAAAGCCTATAATAACTTTAGTTAAGACAGGAAAGTCATGTATTGGACACATCAAATTTTTTTTAACTGCCTTCAAAAAAAGGAGGAGGTTATCAATTTGTCAGAATATTTTTTTATGTATGTTCAGCGATAATTCTTTACTATGTTGTCCGATTTAAGGTTTGGTTACGTTGTGATAGCTTTATTTCTCTTTCTGTAAAAACAGAAAACTAAAATACTTCTCCTTTCTATCTTAGATAATTTACTACAATAATAGCTAATAATTAATAAAAATACTACAAATAATTCTTCAATCGTTTTAATAAATTGATTCCTAAGCTCTTTAGATATTTTTTTTATTATTCCATGTGTGAATGTATTGTGTGACTGCAAAAAATGAAATACTTTTCGAATTCTAGTTTACTAATTGCCGTTTTTTTGTGACACATAGGTTTAGACTTAAATATCATCCAGAGGAGTCTGTTAGGAGGAAAGAAGAGCAAATGGCAGCCCTAAAGGTAATAATTCTCAATAATACCGTTTCCGAAATTATACTATTTCATTTTACAGCGAAGAGTAGAAGTTTTTATTGATCTATTGAAGGCGGGAAAAATCGAATGTGTGAAAATTGACTGTTCAGAGACAAATAAGTTGCTTAAACTTCTTGATACTGTTGTTATCAAATTAGAAGGCGGCACTGATGAAGATCTTGCAGCTCTAGAACAAGAATATGAAGGTACGTTAATAATTTTTTTATTTATAAATTAAATTGTTTACGTATTACAATATAATGCAAATGACAGGGATAAAATTATTATTTCGAAACTTGTTGACTTCTGGAAAAAATCCTGAGGCCCTACAATTTTTTTTTAATACAAATTTGTTTTTATTTAATTCATAGTATACCCTCTGTCGTCTTTGTCCTTTGTACAAGTCCTTGACAGGGTATGTTCTATAGGTTCTTGGATCAACCTGTGGTTGTCAAAAAAGTGCTTGTCTTGTGAACCAATGTTTCGTAGTTGCACAGTATATGTTTGGCTGTTTCTATTTTTTGTTACAAAGTTGACACCTGAGTTCTCGATTATGCATGCCTATTTTGTTCAGGTATTCCTTTACTGGAGTATGTCCAGTCATGAGTTCTGTTATCGTTTTCAACTGGTTTCTATTCGTTGAGAATTGTTCTGTTCTTTTTGAACATAATCTTCCTATTAAAGTTTTCCAAATAATTTGAACTATCATAAGATCTTTTAACCAATTTATGTTGTTAAAACAAAATATGAATATCGACTTGTAAACACACAGAATTAATTCTTGCGATTTTCATAACTCTATTAGTTTGACATTGAAATTAGAGAGGCTGTTGTATTTTATTTTGCCCTCTTTTACTTGTTTTTACAATAATTCCTACAACTTTTCAAAAAAAAGTCTGCTTCCGGATAACCTCCGTGAAATGGAAGTTTCAATGTCACATAGCTTTCTTCTCTGGATATTGTTTCCGTTTTAAACCAACCTCAAGTATTCTGCAAATGGATTTTTCGGTGTTGTACATGTAAGCTGTGTCTGTGTGGCAATAGCCAAAGGAGAGGGCTACTTCGATAGCTTTTTCCATGTTTCGTTTTCAGTGTTTCCAATCCCAATGTAGGTATTTTAAAACCCTCTTTTCAAAGGGCGATTTATTTCTAGATTTCTCAGATTTATATATTTTCCTGGTGAACTGGTTTTTATTGGTGCACCGTTTTTCCACATCAAAACTAATGGCTTTGAGATTGAATTCTCTCTTCTTTATAATGGCTACTAGTTTTTTTGGTTCGGTTTCTACTAAGTTCCACCTCGTGGTACCATCTTCTGGTCTATTCCAATCCTCTTTGGACTATATCACATTTGTCATTAGCAAATATGACTATGTTAAATCTTGCGATTTTTTTAAATTCTATCAATTTGTCTTACATTGAAATTAGATAACGATTTATTTGATTCTGTCTGCTTCTACTTGGTTTGCCTTTGCTTTCTAAATACCTTTATGATTATCAGTCTCAGACGATTCAGCATCGTTGTTAAACTTAATACCTACTGGAAAATGTATCAATACAAGAAGTAAATTCCCCAAACTTAAAAAAAAATTCGACCGCGTCTTGATGTCCTCCGTAGAATGGAAGCTTCAATGCCACAGGTGTTGAATCTTTCTGTTTTAAACCATTGGTCAAGTATTTTGCCAATGGGGTTTTCGCTGTTGTATATGTGTGTATCGTTTATTTAGCAGCAAGGTAATACAAATAAAACAATGCAATAGTCTTAATCTAGTTTAAAAAAAAATTAAAATTTAAAAATTTTAATAAAAATTTTAAACCATTTACATTAAAATATACAAATAACAACAACACAATGAATAAAAAAAGTGTATTAGCAGGTTTCTACACTACTTCTTTTGTTGTTCTAACATGTACCCATTTAATTTCCTCTTAAATATATTAAGCGAAGTAGCATTCTTAATTTCCTCCGGTAGTTCATTAAAGGCTTGAACTCTTTTAATGAAAACTGTGTTACTTGAATTGACACTACTAGCCTGACGTATATGAAAGTAAGCTGTGTATATGTGTTAGTCTACTTCAATAGCTTTTTCTATGTTTTTATTTTCAGTAAACACTGTTCCCAGTCCCAATGTGAGTCTTTAAAACCTTCCATAGTGTAATAAGTAATAATTTCCTCATTAGTTTCTGGGATATACTTACCTGGAGAACTGCTTTTTATAGATGAACTGGTTATTTCTGGCGAGCTTGTTGCATATAATGTTGATGTAATTCAAATAATAATAAAAAACATAATTTAAAATATACATATAAAAAATACACACAAAAAATTAATATAAAAACACATAAAAAAATTCATGTAAAAAATGACAATGACTTTCTATGAAGAAAATAACTAGAAATTACAAATATTAGATCTATGCATACAATATTGCTATAATTAAAATACTAAAACAAATTATGATACATTATAACATCATTAACAAAAAAAAGACTTAAGAAAATCAAAAAGAGTATTCTGGATGGTTTCCTATTTGTAGGAAAAATTTTGAAATTTACAATCCTTCCGTTATCAAGTAAAGCCAAAGCCGCATATAATTTTTATCTAATTTAAAAGTCAATGCCAAGAAATTTTCAGTCAGGATATTTTTGCGATTTAAGAAATAATGCAAACATCCTTTTCTGTCAGAAATCTGATCAGGATTTGAGCAATGTTTTTTTTTTATGTTCTTCAGCTACCTTTACTGCTATGTTGCTATGCAGAAGATCAGGTAAAACAATTTGGACTGTTATAAGATCTTTAAATTTAAGCTGATCTGGCGATTCTGGAGGGACATAGGCAACAAGTACAATAATATTTTGGCAATATTCGACCAAACATGTATCTTGACTTATAAACATGCAGAAATAATTCTTCCAATTTTCGTAATTCTATCAATTTGTCTGATATTGAAATAAAAGATACCAATGTATTTGATTCTACCTACTTCTACTTGTTTTTCCATTGCTTTCCAAATAGCTTCATGATCAGTCACAGAATGTTCAGTGTTGTACATGTAAGCTGTGTCTATGTGGCAATAGCCAAGGGATAGGGCTACTTCGATAGCTTTTTCCATGTTTTCGTTTTCAGTGTTTCCAATCCCAATGTAGGTATTTTAAAACTTTATTTCTTGATTTCTGTGATTTATATATTTTCCTGGTGAACTGGTTTTTATTGGTACACCGTTTTTCCACATCTAAACTAAAGACTGAGTTTTTTTGGTGGGATTTCTAGTCCCACCTCATGGTACCATCTTCTAGTCTGTTCCAATCCTCTTTGGACTATATCACATTTGTCATTAGCAAATATTATTATGTTAAATCTTGCGATTTTTTTAATTCTATCAATTTATCCTACATTGAAATTAGAGATAACAATTTATTTGATTCTGCCTGCTTCTACTCGTTTTGCCATTGTTTTCTAAATACCTTTATGATTATCAGTCTCAAAAGATTCAGCATTAAATGATTCATCGTTGTTAAACTTAAGACCTACTGGAAAATGTTTCAATACAAAAAGTAAATTCCCCAAACTTAAAAAAAAAAAATTCGACCGCGTCTTGATGTCCTCCATAGAATGAAAGCTTCAATGTCACAGATGTTGAATCTTTCTGTTTTAAACCATTGGTCAAGTATTTTGCCAATGGGGTTTTCGCTGTTGTATATGTGTGTATCGTTTATTTAGCAGCAAGGTAATACAAATAAAACAATGCAATAGTCTTAATCTAGTTTAAAAAAAAATTAAAATTTAAAAATTATAATAAAAATTTTAAACCATATGCATTAAAATATACAAATAACAACAACACAATGAATAAAAAAAGTGTATTAGCAGGTTCCTACACTACTTCTTTTGTTGTTCTAACATGTACCCATTTAATTTCCTCTTAAATATATTAAGCGAAGTAGCATTCTTAATTTCCTCCGGTAGTTTATTAAAGGCTTGAACTCTTTTAATGAAAACTGTGTTACTTGAATTGACACTACTAGCCTGACGTATATGAAAGTAAGCTGTGTCTATGTGTTAGTCTACTTCAATAGCGTTTTCTATGTTTTTATTTTCAGTAAACACTGTTCCCAGTCCCAATGTGAGTCTTTAAAACCTTGCATAGTGTAATAAGTATTAATTTCCTCATTAGTTTCTGGGATATACTTACCTGGAGAACTGCTTTTTATAGATGAACTGGTTATTTCTGGTGAACTTGTTGCATATAATGTTGATGTAATTCAAATAATAATAAAAAACATAATTTAAAATATACATATAAAAAATACACACAAAAAATTAATATAAAAACACATAAAAAATTCATGTAAAAAATCACAATGACTTACTTTCTATGAAGAAAATAACTAGAAATTACAAATATTAGATCTATGCATACAATATTGCTATAATTAAAATACTAAAACAAATTATGATACATTAACATCATTAACAAAAAAAAAGACTTAAGAAAATCAAAAAGAGTATTCTGAATGGTTCCCTATTTGTAGGAAAAATTTTGAAATTTACAATCCTTCCGTTATCAAGTAAAGCCAAAGCCGCATATAATTTTTATCTAATTTAAAAGTCAATGCCAAGAAATTTTCAGTCAGGATATTTTTGCGATTTAAGAAATAATGCAAACATCCTTTTCTGTCAGAAATCTGATCAGGATTTGAGCAATGTTTTTTTTTTATGTTCTTCAGCTACCTTTACTGCTATGTTGCTATGCAGAAGATCAGGTAAAACAATTTGGACTGTTATAAGATCTTTAAATTTAAGCTGATCTGGCGATTCTGGAGGGACATAGGCAACAAGTACATTAATATTTTGGCAATATTCGACCAAACATGTATCTTGACTTATAAACATGCAGAAATAATTCTTCCAATTTTCGTAATTCTATCAATTTGTCTGATATTGAAATAAAAGATACCAATGTATTTGATTCTACCTACTTCTACTTGTTTTTCCATTGCTTTCCAAATAGCTTCATGATCAGTCACAGAATGTTCAGTGTTGTACATGAAGCTGTGTCTATGTGGCAATAGCCAAGGGATAGGGCTACTTCGATAGCTTTTTCCATGTTTTCGTTTTCAGTGTTTCCAATCCCAATGTAGGTATTTTAAAACTTTATTTCTTGATTTCTGTGATTTATATATTTTCCTGGTGAACTGGTTTTTA